AGAGAAAAATAACCAAGAAGGGGAAAAGAAATAGTGGTTAAGTGTTCATTTAGGTTTATCGGGATAGCGGTCATGAAAGCATTTGACTAGTCTGGGGCTTTTACATGATTTTTTTGCACCCACTCAGGATGAGCCCCAGGAATATCTTTCCATGTTACTAATGTTGGGTGAATCCCAGGTGTATGTATGAGTCTAGGATTTCTTTAATCTTAAAATGCTGTTTTCCCTCCACCATGATAGGCTTGGGGACTGGAGGGGGTGCCAGCCTTAAGGGCAATACCACTTCTGGTTTAAGGAGGCTGCAATGGAACATCGGGTGGACTTTTCTCAATGATTTTGGTAATTCTAATTCCACTGTAACTGGGTTAATAATTCATTTTATAGGGAAAGGCCCTATATATTTTGGTCCTAACTTCTTTGAAGGTTGTAGGGACTGAAGGAACCAGGTGGACATATATACATGGTCCCCAGTGTGGAATGGTTTAGGTTCCACTCTCTTTTTGTCAGCTTGGGCTTTATAAGCCGCCCAGGCTTCCACCAGGGCTTTGCACATAATGGGCCACATATTTTTCAATTGATTGATCCACTCTTTTAAAGAGGGGATCATGGGTTCTTGGGTTAGTAGTTCAGACATTGGGTTAAAATCTTACCCAATTGCCACTCAAAATGGCATGAAGCCTGTGCTGGTGTGCACAGCATTGTTATAAGCTATTTTGGCAAATGGCAAGAAATCCGTCCAATTATCTTGTTGATAATTAATAAAACAACATAGGTATTGCTCCAGTACTGAATTTGCTCATTCTGTCTTTCCATTTGTCTGTGGATGATGACTAGAACTGAGTCTTTGGTCAGTTTCTAGGAGGTCCAGAAAAGCTCATCAGAATTTTGACATGAATTGGACCCCTCTGTCTAAAATGATGCATTGTGGTGCTCCATGTAAGTGATAAATGTGATGCAGGAACATCTTGGCCAGTGCTTTAGCCGTGGCAATTTTCTGGCAAGGGATGTAATGGACTTGCTTGGAGAATAAGTCAGTCATGACCCAAATTACAGTATTTCCTGAGCTTTCGGGGAGTTCTATGATGAAATCCATAGAAATCTCTCTCCAGGGTGCTGAAGGTTCAGCTACTGTTTGGAGTAGCCCTGGCGTTTTTCCCTGCCTCCGTTTTGTGGAAGCACATACGGGGAAACTGGAAACATAACTTTCAATGTCTTTTTTGAGTGAGGGCCACCAGAACTGTCTTTTGAGAAGGTGTGAGGTTTTCATGAACCCAAAATGTCCCACTAGTTTCAAGTTGTGGCACATTTGCATAGTTTTTAGTCTCTGGCTGGCAGGCGTGTACAATTTCCCACCTACCCACACTGGTCCATCCTGCATGGAGCAGAGGTTTTTATGGCTGCCAAATCACTCATCTGTTTCCAAGGGTTTTTAAAGTCAGCTATGATAGCATTGTCTATGGGTGTTTCCCCCTTCTGTTGCTCTTTCTTAGTGACCTGAGCTGCCAGCTGATTGACGGAGAGAAGGGGCTTTATTATTTCCATCTTGGAACTGTTGTATTGTGGCATTCTTGACAAAGCATCTTGACAAAGTAAGTAGCGTAGAGTGAAGTTGAAGCGCTGGAAGTATTGAGCCCACCGTGCTTGCTTTGGAGACAGTTTCTGAGGGGTTTTCAAAGCTTCCAGGTTTTTGTGATCAGTCCAGACCTGGAATGGGATTTTGCTACCTTCTAAGAAGTGCCTCCATATAAGGAGAGTCCATCAAACCACATAAGCGTCTTTCTCCCCTATTGCCCACCGATTTCCATTTTGGTCAATTTCCATGATGTTTATGCAGTTTCCCTTTTACATTTTCTTGCAGCAGCACAGCCCCCACCACAACATCACTGGTGCCACTTGGATGACAAAAGGTTTTCCTGGGTCTGGGTATTTCAGTACCGATTCAGCAGAAAAAGGTCTTTTGACCTTTGCGAATGCCACTTGGCATTCCATAATCAATTTCAAAGGTTGGCTGGGTTTTGGTTTGTCCCCACCTTTTGTTTTTAGCAAGTTGGTGATAGGGAGGGCTATTTGAGTGAATGAAGGGATGAACTGCTGGTAGAAGTTGGCAAATCCCAGGAAACTTTGGAGTTACTTCCTGGTTCAGGGAGGTGCCCATTTCAGCACTGCCCATACCTTCTCTGGATCCGTCTCAACCCCCTCGTGGGAGATCCGATAGCCCAGGTAGTCAATTTTTTCTTTGTGAAACTTGCATTTGGATAATTTGGCATATAATTTGGCTGCACAGAGTTTTTTCAGTACGGCCCTAATCAGCTTTACATTTTCCACTTTTGTTTCGATATAAATAAGAATGTGAGCAAGGTACACTAGGACCCCCTTGTACAAATGTTCATGGAGCACCTGGTTTATCAGCTGCATGAACACTGTGGGTGCTCCTTGCAGGCCAAGGGGAGTACTTTGAACTGGAAACAGCCTAGCAGGCAGTTGAAGGTGGTTTTCCATTCATCCCCCTTCCTTGATTCTGACACAGTAGTAAGCCTCCCACAATTTTGAAAAAAAAAATCCTTTGGCCAGGTGGGCTAACATGTCCTTCATGAGGAGAAGGGGGGTATACATTCTCCATGCATGCCACATTTAATCCACAATAATCAACACAGAGATGAAGAGAGCCATCTTTTCTTGAAACAGAGCAGGAGGTCTGTTGGTCAGGCTGGTTGGATGAACCCCTGGGCCAGATTTTTGTCAATAAAAGCACGTAGTTCATCTAGCTCCCTGGGGGTCATTGAATAAAATTTGAGCTTCAGCAATTTAGCCCCTGGAACAATATCAATAGCGCAGTCAGTGGGTTGGTGAGGAGGGAGTTCATCAGACCCCCATTTACTAATACATCTCTTAGATACTGGTATTCTTTTGGTATGTCTGGCATTTGCTCTCCCCTTGCAATTGCAGCCACTTCCCGTTGGGGGCCCCTCTGGGGAGGGGCATGATGCTCAGCGCCCTGTGGCGTTCTGTCCCTCCCTGAGAATTTCAGGAGCCCTTTCCTCCAGTCCACCCCTGGGTCCCATTTCTTTAACCAGGCCAAGCCCAGAAGGGGTCTTCCATTCCGGTGCTACTATGAAACTTAAAGTCTCTGAGTGGGTCCCTATTTTCATCCCCAGGGGCAGAGTGGCGAAAGTGGCTTGGATGCCTCCTGCGACTGACCCATCTAGTTGGCAGAACGTGATGGGGGGTTTTAGCCTTCTTAAGCAAATCCCCAACTTCTCCCCTAAAGCTGTGCTAACCAGACATCTAGTACATCCCAAATCCAGCAGGGCTCTTAAGGAAGCGCCCTTCCCAGCCTCAGGGAGATGTAATTCTATAGGCATAGTCATTGGCATGATCGGCCCACTTACTAAGGGGTCATCCTCATAGTCAGTGTCCGAGAACTCTTGGTCTTCCTCCAATGGGGTCAGAGTCCCCCTCTTTTTTGGCAAGGGATCAAGCTCCATGGCCTCGGTACTCCTCAGGGCCATCTCCTTTGTGCAAGGCTGTGGCTTGGCAGTCTTCATGCTTGGTGCATGCTCTCCCTTCTTGGCTGGGGTTCTTGCTCTGCATTTGGCTGCTTGGTGGCCTTCCTTCCCGCATTTGAAGCAGGCAGTGGAACATACTGGCTGGGGTTGATGCTTAGTCACTATCTGTTTTGGAGCACCACAGCTACATTCCAAAAAGGAGAGCTTTCCCCATTTATGGAGGGAATAAGCAAACCTGCCATGTTGGGTCCTACAAAGAGTGTAGGAATCCTACATTCAGACATCTCCTGTGCAACAATATAGAGTCAGCAAATTTTCCACAATGGCAGCCAGGGAGTCCTTGTGATTTCCTGGCTTAAAACACCTCACTATGATAACACCTCAGGAAAACAGTCTTTCTAAGGACTTAGCATCTCAGACCAACCATCCAAATAAAGCAAAGCAACATAGAACAAATAAGCAGAGCTAAGTGTGTTAGGAGTGCTGGGCAAAAAAGGCCTGTTGTACTTAGAGCAACAGCACTACACAACTTTCCTACTTGCTTCCTTGCTTACCCCTTCTGACCATTTGCAATTAGCATCCCAACTTTTGGGGTTGATAGCAGTTGGACAGATTGGCACCTTTCTGGGCTACTGAGAAGTACCATGAAATAGCAGATGGTAAATTCAGGCTTGTTGACAATCAGCAGGTTTTTTGCTAATTACTTAAGTAATGATGCAAATCACTGTGAACATTGGGTTTTTTTTAAAGTATCTATCTAAATCAATTATCATAACTAAATGGCAACACATCAAATGCATTGGTTAAGAATGTGAACTCCTAAGTTCATTCTTTCTTTCCATGGCTTATGCATTAAAGGCAGCTTTTAAAAGGATTGTAACAATGAAGGGAGAAATAAGTTAGGATTAAAGAAGTCAGGCAGGGTTATATGGGGAGGATGGTCAGAAAAGTCAGGATTGGTGGTTGTGAGCCTGTGAACAAGTCTTCAGTCATGCAGTCACAGACAGCATCTTGATTTTTTTTGACCATCCCTGATCTGATCAGGAGTTTTGGTTTATCCCTCTTCTGCTTTTGATGTGGAAAACCCCGAGACAGCTTCCAAGCATCTTGTTGAAACAAATTTCACTAGATTCTGTCTTTGAGACTAATAAAACTATTCCTGAGGTGATACTACTTGCTTTTGCTACCTGAAAACCCCACAAATATTGTGAATTGGTAAATAATGTGTTGATTCTATACAGTGTCACATCACCTTTTTACACAACTATTTCATCTCTTTCAGTCAACAATTTGGAATTTTTGAAAATTAGATTTCCAAGTTAGCAATATACAAACAGAATTCCAACAGGTTTGAATATACCCCTTTGAGGCCTGGCGGTGATAATATGGGGGAATGTGTGGAAGGATTTGGGGTAATCCTCTCATAGGAATTGAGATACTTTGTTTAGCTTGTTCCAGTTTCTAACAGTTAACAAATCATGGATCCCTTTCCAGGATGTGATGGTTGTTGGGGAACCCACTCTGATGGGTGGAGAATTTGGTGATGAAGACGAGCGGCTGATCACTAGACTGGAGAACACGCAATATGATGCAGCCAATGGTCTGGATGATGATGAAGACTTCAACAATTCCCCTGCCCTAGGTAATAACAGTCCTTGGAACAATAAAACTTCTACCAACCAGGAGACCAAGTCTGAGAACCCCACAACCCAGGCTTCCCAGTAGAGCTCCATACCCATCCCCTGCTTGGCTAGTAACAGCAACTAACCTTCATCTCACAGCATTCCATAGGTAAGCAGAACAAAAACCTCTAGATTTTCCACAAAGATAGAAGCTATTTCTATATGTACAGCTTTTTTGAAATTAGAAAAAAAAATTGTAAGCACCCAGGGGATAATCTCGGAAATTCGTGGCACTGACCTCAGTGAAACTAAATATGTAAGTAGCACCTCATGATGATTTTTCACATTTCAATGGAGGATTTTTTGCCAGGATAATCCCCTTTTATTCTATAAAGACCATACCTTTTGTCAGTGCTCAGGATCAAATGACTTTTTTTACCATGATAAAGGACATCCTGGCTTTTCTTATTCTACAATATAAATGGGAAGAGCAGACAATTTGGAAACAGCTTTTATTTTCTGTCTATGCCATTGATTTTTCTGGTGATCCATTTGAGAAGGCAAGAGGCAGAAGAGGAGAAGATTTTTTTTTAATCAGGCTCCAGAAAGAGCTTATTGTTATTATTTAAAAAACACAGTAGCAAAGTGTTATCATTTAGTCTGCATATTCTGGGCTGAAACCTTTCCCCATCTGAATCAGCAAATGAGGACCAGAAGATCTGAGGCCACATGGTGGAGAATGCTACTGTAATGTTTGAAATTAAAATATTTTCTCAGAGAAGGAAATCAGGCTTTCTGGGACAGCAATGATTCAGCCATTATAATGTCGGCTTTATTAAATATGCAACCATCCTAATGTTGCTAGTTATAAAATGCAGCCTTGATATTTCAAATGATAAGCCTTTAAGCTGTTGCAATAAGGTCATAACACTACCCCAATATCTTTTTTTATGGCTCTGATCCATAGCAGAGCAGGCATGTTGCCACTCTGAAATCTGAAAAATCCAGTCCCAAAGATGATTGGTAAAACTTTAGGTTTCTTGAAAGGGGGTGTGTGTGAGCATGCATATCTAGCTATGTGACTGGCTAGGAATAATTGTGAGATCAAAGTTACACATGTTTAATTCTCCTGAAATCTTTCTTAACATCTCCATAATTTTCTCTTTCCTGGCATAGGTTGACCATCTCTTGCCTTTTTTCACTCCCATTTCTATTCTTCATTGCTTTCAGGCAAACAATGTAACAGATTCTAAATCAAAGTTTTTCATACCCTTGTGAAAAGCACCGAAACAATTATAAATGCCGTTTTGTTTCATCAAAGATGTAACAAATATTTTTATGTGGAAGGAGGGTAGCTGTACCCTATTAATGTTTATGCTTTGTAAAATTGCTGTTGATCTGAATTTTGAAAGCCATGTAATCCATCAAATTTGTGAACAATTTGAAAAAAACCAATTTGGGTTCTTATTGCATATTGTTTATTTGGTTCTTTTCATGCTTTATTTCTTGTATAATAATATTTTTTGTAAAGTTCTTCAAATTAATTAATTTTGATTAAAATGTATTTATGTGAAATTTTATAAAATAAACTATTTTTTTCATTTAGATATTTTCAATTCATCATGTAAAAAATACAGTGAGTTGATCTGTTATGTTACAACTGTATTTTATGTTTGCTTTGCCAATATGTGTGCCAATAAACCATGTTAACAAAAAATTGTTTACATTTCCTTACTAACAGAATGTACATATATTCAGGTTCCCCACAGGTTGGGGAACTCGAAAAAACATGTGTTTTCCAGATCCGACCTCTCCTTCAAAAGTTAGACCAGGGTCTATGTCGCATTTGTTGGCAAATAGCCAATTTAGCATGAAAAGTCCAAATGTGAAACTGACCTCAAATTCGAAAAGTACACATATATTCAGGTTCCCCACAGGTTGGGGAACTCGAAAAAACATGTGTTTTCCGGATCCGACCTCTCCTTCAAAAGTTAGGCCAGGGTCTATGTCGCATTTGTTGGCAAATAGCCAATTTAGCATGAAAAGTCCAAATGTGAAACTGACCTCAAATTCGAAAAGTATACATATATTCAGGTTCCCCACAGGTTGGGGA